CAAGGCATACTGTGAAACGGCTCTCACGTCCGATACATAGAGAAATTCGTTGGGTAACAACGCCATCGCAAACACATCCATCACATCCTCCAGTTCATAAACTGCAAGCAGACGTGACGACTCGGGCCCAGTTGTTCCTTCCAAGTGCGACAATTTCAATATTTTTCGGGTACTGTAAATCGAGAAATCGATAACAATTTATCACATAACTAATTTGAAAAGGACATAAGTTTAACTTTTGAAGTTCAACTTTTCAATCATTCTTGATCACAAGCGTTCAACTTTTAAAGGGTGCTTAAAAATAATCACCACTAAGCAAATAGTTTTAAAACACATGAAATCAACAGTCTAAAGTGATTTAACGCGAAAAATTCATCCGTTGCACTGAGTGTTGCTCGCTGTAATAAACAAAAACAAGTTATATGAATGAAAGCGAACTAAAGGTGATCGAAAAACAAGCCTAAGCACTTACTTATGTGAATAAACAAAAACAACATTAACAGACTGAAGTACATCGACAGCAATGTGTGTGAAAAGATGTTGTGAAGCAGTCAGCAACGGGGCACCACACGAAACTGCTTCAGCCATCAAAAGATGTGATTTTGCAAAGTGCAGTTCACCATCTGTGATTGCTACAGAATTCGGTACACACTAAATACAACTTAATTTGTTCATCATATAAACACTCTTTGGTATAACGACACATGTCTTTAATGAACGAATGTTTAGGGTCGGCTGTAATCATCTTCTTTAATCACAGCACTGCTTCAGAGCAATACTAATCAGACACGGTGTTCATCACATCAGATGACAATCAAATGCTTTAAGTTCACTGCGACGCGTAATATCATCTGTGTTTTTCGGTGATGCAAGTAAATTTGACAAAAGTGAACGGAATTTGTGCAATAATAATAATTAAACAACATTCGACGTGTGACAACAGAGTTTTCAAAGTGGAAAGGCAACGAAATGAATTACTGTTCCGGGTCGGTGTGGAGGAACACTTTGAGGAGGTGTTGTCGTCCAACTGCTGCCACTCGCAGATTGTTCAGCAAACATCCCTTGGTCGAATAGCTGCATAATGATAGAATAGAAAAGTGATGTGATGAAATGAATCAACAAAAAGAGCACTCATTCACCTGATTGATTGCATTCAACGAGAATACACAAACAGCACTACCACCAAATTGAATGTCCGCAGTAGTCAGGGTTGCGTAGAAGAGAGTATCACCTCGTGCATCGACACGTTGCACTGATTCTGCAACTCTTCCAACATTACCTCACAAAACAATCAATTCACTGCTAAGAAATGATGTGAATTCAATTTACGAATTTGGTCGAAGTACAACGGATATGGTGATGACATTGAGCAATTGAGACGTGCCTTCACGAAACTCGTCCAAACTTGACGTAAGACATTCTTACCACCCACATCCTTCTAAAATAATCAATTTATAACCGAGATGACAATCACTTCAAATCTCAGGCAACCATCTTGTCATGTACAAACGATAGTTCGTTACCAACTTATCGACTCATTAATCTAATGTCGATTTGGGTTTCTACAGAACTGATACGCTGTGGAATACCAATAAACGTTCCACTGCTCTAATCCTAGTCTTATTGAATATTCAACCAGCAATAACTCTTCTAAAATGTGGTAAGTAACAGTATACCTTACAGAGACGTGCAACTCTCGAATATACAACACGACCACAATTTTCATGTTCTACAGCCACTTCACGAAAGAAAAAATACACATAATTGGCAATACTCAGCGATGATACAAACTGCGGTTCTGAAAATCAACTGTAGCATTCTGGAATTTGTTTCTTGAATTTCATACGGTTTTAGCACAGTTCAAATGAACGCCTATTAGATCAAGTGAACATTCAATTGAATGTAATCCATTAAGTCCTTAAACATATAACTGCAAAGTGAGATGATTTTGAGAATTTGGAATGAATCAAGTTAATAAGGAATGTTCGAAAGCAACAGCAAAATGAAGAAATAATGTACCATTAAGCCACTTCGAATCCGTATAGACGGTTCTCATTGATGGATGAACTTCTTTGTTGTTGAGTACGAGTGGTGACCGATAAATTAAATGGTTATCAAGCGACAAGCCCGTTCGAATACCCGAATAAATCGCCGGAATATCGTCAGGATTACCCCATTCTAGAAGCATATCATATTATCAGGTCACGTCTTTAAACACCGAATAACGATATACCTACCAACGAGAGTGGCAGTGGTATTAAGATGAGTGTGAGGCGAACATACACCAATCACATTCTCAGGTGTGGATCGTTCACGAAGAGTTGATGCATCTAATTCGTGTAGCTGCGGCTTCATAGCGTTAGACGAGCACACCAATAATGTCTGATGCCCCTCTTTCATGAATATCAACCTGACTCCATTGACACACTCTTCATGACCACCCTGACGACATTCCTCCATATCACTTCTTGATACACTCAATTCTCTGTGCGCATACTGAAATTCATTTGACTGCATCATTTTCATTTGATTTATTTCACAACATAACTCTATTCTTCATTTTACAAGGAATCGAGATTTAGTGAATCCTCTAAATGAAAGTCACACTTTTCACGTGGAATACCTTGCTTTTCCACATTTTTTTCAAATGAAAGCCAAAAAGTACAGTAATACTTCCAAAATTAAACAAGTGACAATGGTTATAATAACAATAGAATTACTAAATTATCCGTTGTTGTGTCATTAATATTATATGCCCAAAGCTTGAAAAGATGTCCATTAGCACCGACATATAAAGAAGCAGATTGTGTGTCGAGTAGTAAACGTCTATAGAAAAGATGGCCAGATGAAAAGACGTTCTCTAAAAATTGGCACTTATAAAAGATGTGAAGCAGCATATCTGCAACAAAAGCTTTGTAATTGTTATCATATCAACACATTACTACGTGTATGTGCGCAACTCATCCCAAACAACAGCAAACTCCAAATCAAAACAAACACTGTTTGTTCATTATCGTCATCTTCGAATCACACCTTCACCAAACTGTATGCATACTGAATGCTACCTATGTTTAGAGTCGGTAACCTTCTCGGTGAACACAACCGATAATATGATACTCAAATTGGAAGTGAATTGTGAATTAATTCATCAAATGAATAATGCAACACCCAATTTTGCAATCAATCAAAAACGTTTTCTACTCGACACTAAAACTGAATAATCAACACATCCAACGCCTGTCATAAAGTGACGATGCAGTGATTGTAAAAACGATGTTGATAAAGAGAAAGAAAACATTTATTGACAAAACACCATCAGTAAAATGCAAATGAAAAACCAACCTATCATTACAATGCTTCACTTCAACGGTACAACCGAATACATGCATATTTCTGCACTCTTTCAAGCTCAGCACATATGCTCGTGCGCAATGATGGATCGAAATGTGAGGAGAAGAGGTAAGAATAAATTTGTGAATAAAACGGAGCGTTCACAAACAAGTGTTATAAAAGCGTAAGTAAACCATCGATGAACATAACAATCATTCACACTTTCATGCATAAAACATTTCTGATCACAATAGCATCTAAAGGCAGTGTTCAGCAACGCTTATCAATAACCCCTGATGGATTTGTACTTCAGTGGATTGTTTTTTAAAAACACAAGCTTTCTTACTGCCAAAACAAAATCCAGCTCTCCATTCATTGTCCTGTGATTTGGCTTAACCACTGATTGTTGCAACGATCAAAATTTGGACATACTGCAATGTCTGACTGGCATGGAATGCATTTGGAATAAAATTATTTATCCAAATCCGGAATGAAATTTTCAGTAAGAATTCAAGTTCTACATTACAACTAATGACCTTCGGTAATGCAATTACGCATGAACAATATGATGAAATCAGCTTTCAGTGAACAGATAAGGCAAACCCATACATAAAAACATCGATCAGTTACAAAGTAAAAAAAAAAGAGGCTCTCCAACATACTGGACAAAAAAAAAGACATGCAGAATGATGTGCTCACAAATACTGAGTGAATAAGATAAAAAATAAGTGAGGCACAAGGCAAGAATTAATCAGTAAAGTGGTCATCTTTAATTTGATTTTTTCTGTTCAACATTTTAAGTAGATATTCGTTACATCAACTACCCATGACTAACGAGTACTTTTATAGGTAATAGGTCACACCGCGCGCACAAGCCGAAGCCCATGCGTTAGCCTCGTCATGGGCTAAGCGTAAGCGAACTCCTATGTTCAGTTCGAATTGCATGATATTCATATACAACATAATTTAAGTGCATGCATGCGGCGGTGAGGCCGTTACCTGTGAAAGTGCCGACTAACATTCACCACACATTCCAAACATATATACACATAAAAACTGGGCATTTTTTGGCAAGAAAACAACCTACAATTAAAATACACCTTCTCATTGCTAAAAGTGATCCTTTTTAATTGTTCTTCTTATTATTCACTTATTTAAAATGGAATATACAAAACTGAAGATGGACACGGAAATATGCAAATCCATATACCAGAAAGAATCAAATAAGGATGAACAGTAACTGGTGAATGGTGCACATTGAAACTGATAAAATATAGAACGAAATGACAACCTGGAGTGATAATGGATGAACGAGGATGATTTGATGACAATGTGGTTGTTTTCGAGCATATTGAAGTGATATTGGTGAGAAGGATGATAATCAGCAATAAAAAATAGTCACAGTTCACTCCTAGGCAACTCATCTCCAACTCTGGCACTCAATTGCAACAGCAGCAGCTACACTCTTCAGTACGCTAATCTCGCTCACTGCTCCGCATCCACACTCAACGCTGCACTAACTCTCTATTCATCATCCAACCCACAATATATACACATTATGGCAATGCCATCCACACACAGCATATGCAAACGACAAACCGCAACGCACACAAACAATTTGGTGGTATATCTGAGCTGAAATTGCACAGGAATATCATCGTAATTACATCGATCAAGCGGTACATCATTATTTCAAATCATCACAATCCACTGTTGTTGTGCTGTCGATCACAGAAGTGGAAGAAGAAAGCAACTTGGATGAGTACCATTCATTTACATATATTTATTCATCAACATAACTGTTACTGTTTGTTACATTTTAATTTTGACCCGTTGGAACGTGACCAGCTGAATAAATTTATTAATTAGAACAAACGATTAAAAATAACCACTCAATAATGACATCAAAACCAATATTAACAAAATACAGTAGTCACAGGAAGAAATGAACCGCTTTTGCACGGGCTTCCAAACTACTAGATTCAACTTCAACTTCGATTTTATAACTGAATATTTAATTTATAATCGAAAAACATAAGAAAAAGAGTACCTGCAAGAAGACGGAACAAGTATATAAACTGAACACAGAGTCGATGAATGAAGAACTCAAAAGAAATAATCAACTCTCTTGTAAACGATAGATACGCAGCCGTTCGTTATATTATTTCACATCGCTTGCATTCTCCCGTCGTTCTCAAATATATTTATTATAAATAAACGACCAAATTTAGTGGAAACATCCATTTGGGAGGACCTTCTAGTTAACATGGTCAACGAAGACGGCAACACTACAGGGAGCAATCTCAACCCCAAAGAACATCTCAGTGTAAGTATTAACATGGAGTGAGCCTGGTCCCAAACTCCGGGCAAGTCTCAGGCTGCTGTGAAGCCCTACTCAATGAATATGTTAGCTAGAAGATCATCAACTTTTTAAGCCAGGAAATGACTGAATTGAGGTTATAAACAATCATATAATGTGCTAAATTGGAACAAATAGTTTGCTTCAAGAATTCGAAAATTTTATTCCGCTTGCACTCAAACATTTCACATGATTTTTGTTTTGCATTTAATTCTTCAATTATAAACTCATTCACAGACGTGATTTCCTCCTAAAACGGAAATCTGGTGACAAATATCCTTTCGTATTCGAATGAATCAGATCAGACGAGCAAACGTTTCCAATCGAATAAGTTAATGCTTTGCGATAATCTTTTCAACCGCATCTCAGTGACAGAACTTATTCGTTTTTTTTTTGCTTCAACCGAAATAATGTAACGGAACCAATGAAGACTGTATATATAAGAGAATTAG